TTTTAGCATCAATTATCGACGATTATCCCATAAGTAAACGGCGATTAACATTGCCAAAGCTGGATCTGGAGTTAATCCACTGTGAATCAGACCTTAGTGAGGTTGTTCGGTCACATGGGCGATTTGGGGCCTTCGCCCTGTATATTTTCGGGCAAAAACGCTCCTTCTTGTTCATTGTTCGCGCTGACAATCCAACAAACAATTACTAGTAGTTTGCGAGTGACGGGGCGTGCGACACCGGCATAATCATCTTTATGTGGGCCATTGTTCGCTGCTCTTCTTCATCCCGCCGACTAATTTAAGATTAGGAAAGAAACGACGAGCGAAAATATGTCGGCAAATGACGACATTTATGGCATTTTACGGGGCCGTGATGCATTGTCGAAAGACAATAACTGGGATTAAGCGCGCAACAATTAGGCGTCGCGACGACAAAGAGCGTTCCCGCAGGATTACATGCTGCTGATTCACGGCGCCTCTTTGCCACCCCATTTGGGATTATTCCCGTTGTTGTTGCTGTTGTTCTTCTTGTTCCTGCTGCTGTTTTCCACGCCAACTCCCCCCCTGGTCATGGGTCTGATGATTTTGGCAACGCTGGTTTTGTCGGCTTTTCGCGCCATTTGGCAACATTTATAGAGGGTGTCCCTGTTAGTGGGGATTAACTTATTTTAGTAGATGAAAGTGCCAAAAATGGGACACCTTCTAAACAACTAAAAACCCTCCATAACTGTGAACAGTTGCGTCCGCTCCAAGAACCGTTCCATAACTCAAAAAATACTACCAGAGTACCGGGTGACTTCAAAGATTTGGACGTCTGAACACCTGAGCGTGTGTGTATGCTTTGGATCGTGTGTTTAATAGTTTCCAGAGCAGGAAAAGTCGCTTATTATTGGCCTGGCGGCAGCGGGACGGGCCACGCCCTCAGCCATTGTCCTGCCGAGATTGCGGGACCCCAAATCACGGCTCTTTCACTCGGTGCTCGGATTGCGGCTCAACAAAGCTCTAAAACGGCCCCCCGATCGAATCCATCAGGCCTGCCCATCGGGTGCGTGTTTGTGCCCGCCCTTCGGAGCCCTTTACTTCCGGATTTCTGGGCGATTTTGCCCCCCTGATGGGACACACCTGCGCTCGAAAATTACCAATTCTTCTATTCTAAGCCCATGTTGCTCATTGAAGCTGTGTTGCCAAATTCGCGAAATTGGTAATGTTTTGGTATTCTCAAGTGTAAATGCAATTTCCAGTTGAGAAGCCTTCTGAGTGCGCCCCAGTAGTCTGCTCAATCAAGAACGTTACCCTGGCAAACTTTGGAACTGAACAACTTCTAACTGCTCAGAGCGAATTAATTTCTGTTTGAAGCGTTATTTAGTGCAATTCTTTTCTGGTTTGTGCGTGGTTTTGCAGAACATTACTGCGTCAGGTGAAGTTTCTACAGGGTGGCCAATAAAACAATGCAAAATTGGTGGAAGTTTCGCGTGCGCTCAGTTGGGCAAAAAAACGACTTTTTCCATTTCAACCCCACAGTCATTAAGGTGGGCTTTATACCTCAAAAAACGTTTTAATTTCTTTTCCTCACCTTGTTTATTTACAGAGTGGTCTTACAAAATCAACAATCAACATCAAATCAAACGTTGCAAATCTCCCAGAATCGCAATTCCCGATTTGCGTACTTTTTTCTGCAACCCTGTATATAGAATTTTTGCCTCAAATCATCTATGAGCTTTAAGCTTCAACTTAAGCTCCAGATCGTGAATTCGGGCCAAGAGCAGAAAAGTTAGCGCTGCGAAACCAAAAAGTTGATTTTTTGAGGCCACCCTGTAAATAGGACAGATGGCTGAAAAATTCAAAAACCGTTTTGAGCTTTTTGATTTATTTTGAAACTTTTGGTGTTGAGATCTAAAAAAAACATTTTGTCCAACTAGGAGCATGCCTAGCACCATGCATGCACATTTTTTATTTGCCGCCCTGTACAAATGTTACCTGAGGTGCTTAATTTTTACCAAAGCACTGACTAACAGAAAACAAATGGGGTTCAATAGGGCTTCAAACGGAAACCAAATCGCAGTAAGCGATCAGAATTTATTCAGTTGCCAAGTTTGGGCAATTTTGGCTGTGTAACGTTCATTTTGTGAACAGTTTAGTTTGATTTCCTCTTCGCTGTTTTCGATTTTATGTCTAATGCGGTCAGAGTGGTTTCGATGATGTTATTAAACACTCATTATTATACTTTTATTAGGTATATAGAAGTGCGTTTTTTACCCGGTTTAACAGTTTAATCGAACATTAACAGTTTTTCCTTTTTGTCCAAGTTTTCAAGTGTTATTTGCGCCTAAATCGGCCCCAATTAATCGTGAACTTTAGACAGTTTTTGACCCAAAATCGTCCCTTTAAAGCCTAGCAATTGTGCAACAGTCCGCATTTTTCAGGAATTTTCATTAATTAAATGGAAAAGAAATGGAAGCTTTCGAATGCTGTTTCAAGTCCAAGTTGCGCCTCAACCCCCACAGTTTAAACGTAGATTTTTGGGCCATTTTAAACTGCAAAATCGTGTTTTTGAAACGTAACAAATGTCTTAAAAGCAGGCCATTTTTTTCCAACTTGGTACTTTCAAGTTTCATTGTTGTTTTGCCGCTTTAGAGGGCAACATCTCAGGCCTAACAATTGTTCGAAAAAACACACTTTTACGCATTTTTACATTTAAAAAAAGTAATTGGAAACTTAGTTTTAGTTAAAGTCCCTTTGCGGCCAAAACCCGCAATTTTTAAGGGTTTTTTTTTCAATTTCTCAGGTCAAAACCATCCTACTACATCCAAACAATCCTCATTAGGTGATTTTCCAGATCATAAGTTTATGGCGCATTTTAAGCAAGCTATAGCCTGAGACTCAGCTACTGCACTTGAATAAAAGTTTGCTGATTTTTCGCTCAAACATTCGTTCTTAAGCGTACAAATCTTCAAATCAGCCATGACTCAAGCGGAGTTTTGAGAATTTTTCATGTCAGGAAAAAAGTGCGTTTAAGCAAACCTTTGTTCAAAAATGTATAGCTTGAGACGCAGCTTTACTACTTCAGTGAGACTTTTAGAGTTTTTAGCTTTGTTCGTACGTGCACACATCTTCAAGTCAGTTTGTTAGTTTGTTAGTTAGATTACTTAGAGCTCAAGGAGCGATTAGCGAAACTTTATGTGAAAGTAAAACCGCACTTAACTAAGGCCTATTTACGCAACTGCAAAACTTCATAGCTCAAGACTCAGCGTCGCTATTTGAGCGAAATTTTCAATATTTGCAGCCAAAAAGCTCGTTCTTAAGTAAACAAAGTTTGAAATTTTTTACGGCACAAAATAAGTTTTCATTTTTTTATGAGAAAAAAAACGCGTTTGGGCCAATCTTTGTTGCGCCTTAACCCCTACAGTTTAAACGTAGATTTTTGGACCATTTTAAACCGCAAAATCGTGTTGGTACTTTCAAGTTCCATTGGCGCCTTAACCGACGCAGTTTAAACCATGTTTTACCGCTTTAGAGCGCAACATCTCAGGCCTAACAATTGTTCGAAAATACCACTTTTTCGCATTTTTTACATATAAAAAAATTACTGGAAACTTTCAGTTTTAGTTTAAGTCCCTTTGCGCCCAAAAACCATCAATTTTTAAATGTTTTTTTTTTGCAATTTCTGAGTTTAAAACCGTCCTACTACATCCAAACAATCATCATTAGGTAATTTTCCAAATCATAAGTTTATGGTCGCGTTTAAGCAAGCTTTTGTTAAAACATTCACAGCCTCAGACTCAGCTACTGCACTTGAATGAAAGTTTGCTGATTTTTCGCTCAAACATTCGTTCTTAAGCGTACAAATCTTCAAATCAGCCAAGACTCAAGCGGAGTTTTGAGATTTTTTTGTCAGGAAAAAAGTGCGCTTAAGCAAACCCTTGTTCAAAAATTTATAGGTTGAGACGCAGCTTCAGTACTTCAGTGAGCCTTTTAGATTTTGTAGTGTTGTTCTTACGTGCACACATTTTCAAATCAGTTTGTCCTTAATTATAGAAATTTTGAGACTAGTTAGAGCTCAAGGAGCGTTTAGCGAAACTTTATGTGAGAGTAAAACCGCACTTAACCAAGGCCTGTTTACGCAACTGCAAAACTTCATAGCTCAAGACTCAGCGTCGCTATTTGCGCGAATTTTTCAATATTTGCAGCCGAAAAGTTCGTTCTTAAGTAGACAAAGTTTGAAACTTTTTACGGCTCAAAATGAGTTTCTATTTCTTTGTGAGAAAAAAAACGCTTTTAGGCCAATCTTTTTTGAGCCTTATCCTCTAGTTTAAACGTAGATTTTTGGACCATTTTAAACCGCAAAATCGTGTTGGTACTTTCAAGTTCCATTGGCGCCTTAACAGGCGCAGTTTAAACCATGTTTTACCGCTTTAGAGCGCAACATCTCAGGCCTAACAATTGTTCGAAATACCACTTTTTCGCATTTTTTACATATAAAAAAATAACTGGAAACTTTCAGTTTTAGTTTAAGTCCCTTTGCGCCCAAAAGCCCTCAATTTTTAAATGTTTTTTTGCAATTTCTGAGGTCAAAACCGTCCTACTACATCCAAACAATCCTCATTAGGTGATTTCCCAGATCACAAGTTTATGGTCGCTTCTTTTTCAATTTTAATTTCTATTGCAGATTACAAACGAAATGGCAATGGTGTATTAAAAAAATAAGGTCCTGTCGTCAAGCTCTCGTCTATTTGGGGGCTTAAGCCACGTGCATATCGACGCAACTCTAATCCCCATCCAACAAACAAGCGCTTATTCGACAAATAATTTACAATAACTCGCCGAAAATCAGACTGATAGTGATAGCGCAATGAGTCGAGTCGTAAATATGTTCCGGACTTGATCCCGGTTGATTTTCTGGATAATTTATTGGGGGGATTTGGAGCAGTGGCGTCCTTGGGGCGCATGTGAGCGCCCTCTGCTACGCCAATGGGCCATGGTCATTATTGCGCTTCAGCGATTATTTATCCATTAACTGCGGGCATGAGATGGAAATCTGCATTTCGAGCAATTTTGGCTTTGTTCCGATCGGAAGTGGCTAAATAATGAGGATAATGTCGCTTTTTCACCTAGTTGAAGTTAGGATGAAGTGGGCACGGTTTGCACGTAAGTTTGGGGCTCAGTTTTCCGTTCACAGGAGGAGTTCTAAGGGTGTTTTTCAGTACTTTTTGTCAGCATTGTCGCAGTGGCGCACGGGAGTTCTAAAGAGAACCCCAGACTGGAGGCCTGGCTCAGAAGTTGCCAGAATGAGACTGGGGCAAGTGAAGACGACTTTCAGATGATTAAATCGCGCAAAATTCCCACTTCCAAAGAAGGTAATTCAGGAATTTCAAGCAGTTTGCTGGGTTTTCTAGTTTTCCCCACTGGAATGAAATTTCTCGAATTTTTAGAACGAAGTTTCACTCGGTCGTGTACAAATTTTCAGATGAGTTAAGGCTCAAGGGGAGTGAACAGGTTTTTTAAAAAAGAGTAAAGCCACACTTAAGCGCGGTCTGATGTTCAAGAATTCATAGCTTGGGAAGTAGCGCTGATATTTCAAGCAAATTTTCAGTATTTCTAGCTAAAAGCTTTATTCTTATGTTGGAAAAATTCCGCGTTCGAACAAGGCGTTGCTCAAAAATTCACAGCTTGTAAACGTGAGCGAAGTTTTCATAATGTGTAGCACAATGATTCGTTCTTCAGTTTACAAATTTCCAGATGAGTCAAGGTCCAAAAGGACTTTTAAAAATTTTTGTGCCAGGAAATACCGCGTTTGAGCAACCTTTTGTTCAAAAATTCATAGCTTGAGACTCGGCTTCTGCACTTGAGTGAGAGTTACCGAATTTGTAGCACGCACAAAGCTTCATTCCCTAGTTTTTTCACATCACGCAAGGCTCCAGAGGAGTTTTGACAATTTTTTGTGCGAAACAAAAATCGCGTTTAAGCAAGCTTTTGCTAAAAATTCAGAGCCGAAGACTCAGCTCCTGCACTTGAATGAAATTTTGCTGATTTCTCGCGCAAAGATTCGTTCTTAAGCGTGCAAATCTTCAAATCAGCCAAGCCTCAAGAAGAGTTTTGGAAATTTGATGTCAGGAAAAAAGTGCGTTTAAGCAAGCCTTTGTTCAAACCTTTTTAGCTTGAGCCTCAGCTTCAGTACTTCAGTGAGGCTTTTAGGGTTTGTAGCTTTGTTCTTACGTGCACAATTTTTCAAATCAGTGCAACCTCAAGAGGAGTTTTAACAATTTTGTATCTGAGAAAAACACCGGGTTTTACCAGCTTTTTTTAACTATTGCTTGAAACTCAACCACTGCACTTGATCGAACTTTTCAGAATTTGTAACACAGAGCTTTGTACTTGATTGTACAAATTTTCAGATTAGTTAGGGCTCCAGGCGCGTTTAGAGGAAATTTATGTGAGAGAAAACCCAACTTAAGCAAAGTATGTTTACACAACTGCAAAATTTCATAACTTAAGACCCTGCTTTTTTCCAGAAATTTTTCATTATTTGCAGCCCAAAAATTCGTGCTTAAGTGGACAAAGTTTGAAACATTTTACGGCTCAAATAAGAGAAAAAAACGCTTTTAGGCTCAACTACTGTGCTTAAGTTCATAGCGCAAGCCTTGTTTATTAAACGTGCAAATTTTCAGATTAGTCCATACTCAAGACGAGTTTAGATAATTTTTTATGTGAGCGATAATCTTCGTACAAGCGAAGTATGCTGGCTTGGGGCTCAGCTGCAATATTTGAGTGCAATTTTAAGGATTTGTAGCAAAATGCTTCGTATAGAAGTGGACATTGTTTGGAATTTTTTTGCGGTTCAAAGTTCGTTTTTCAGGGGAGAACCTTTAATGTGAGAGAAAAAACACGTATAAGCAAGCCTTTGTGCAAAAATTCGTATCTTTGAACTCAGCTTTGATATTGAGGCCATATTTGTAGGAGTTGTAGCCAAAGCTCTGGTTGTTAAGGAAAAAAATATAAGGCGCCAGCCAGAGCTTAAAAGGAGTTTGGGTAAATTTGTATAAGAGTGAACTCGCACTAAAGCATACTTTTTCCATTAAAAATTCATAATCTGGGATTCAGGGTCAGCTGCTGTATGAAACTTTTGGAAAATATAGCTAAAAACTTCCATGTTATAAAACAAAATTGAAAATTCGTAAAAGCTCAAAGCGAGTTTACATTTTTTAAACTAAAGTGAAATGCCATTTAAAAAAATTTTCCAATTAAAAAAAAATACATGGTTTGAAAGTCAGCATCGGCTTATCTGTGAAATGTTGAATTAATCACAGCCTAAAGACGGTTCAGATAAAAATCCTATAAAAGTGAAATTACAGTTGACCAAACTTCTCCTTTCAAAAATTCATAGCTTGGAAATCAACTTCGGTATCTGAATGAAAATTTCACGACTTGTAGCCAGTGTCTGCAGAGTTAAGAAAAAAAAATCTGGAATTAGTCTGAGCTCAAAGGTAGGTTCAAGAAATTTTTAAAAGGGAGTGGTCTTGAACTTAAAAGAACTGTTCAATTAAAAAATCATACCTTGACACTCACCCCTATGATCAGGATGAGATTGTCCGAAATTACAGCAAAAAGCTTCTTTGTTCCGGAGATAAAATTTTATATTAGTCAGAGCTGAAGTGGAGGTTTGCGTAATTTTGATATGAAAGTGAAACAGCACTTATGCAATTTTCTCTATTCAAAAAATCATAGCGGGGGGCTCAGCTTCGGTATCTGCCTGAAATTCTCACAAGTTGTAGCCTAGGCCTTAGAAATGAAGCTTAAAAAATGTCAAATTAGTCCGAGTGCAAAAGGAGTTTCAGGAAATTTTCATTTGAGAGAATAATTTTATCAAAGCAATCTTCTTTATAGAAAAATCGTAGCTGGAGACTGACCGTCAGCAGTTAGGTGGAACTTTCAGAATTTGTTCCCCAAACCTTCATTGCTAAGTGCAAAAAGGTTGAAATAAATACGGGATTAGGGGAAGTAGGGGGATTTTTTTATTTTTTCAACTTCTCTATTCAAAACGAACTTCTACATTCAAAAATCCATAGCGTGGAACTCAACTTCTAAGGAATTGTTGCCAAAGTCTACACTGTTAAGAAAAAAATCTCAGAATTAGTCAGAGCTCAAAGGGAGGTTCAGGAAATTCGTATATGGGAGTAAAGTCGCACATAAGGAAAACGTTCCACTAAAAAAAAATCGTAGCTTGGCACTCGCCCTTAGCATCTGCATGAAATTTACAGAAATTATAGCCAGAAGCTTCCTTATTAAGGAAAAAATGCAATTAGTCAGAACTCAAAAGCAGTTTTAGGGAAATTTCATTTGCGAGTGAAAGTAACTCAAGCAATCTTCTTTATTCAAAAAATCATTGCTTAGGACTCGAAATCGGTATCGGGATGAAACTTTCGGAATGTGAAGCCCAACCTTTCGTGCAACCGTGCAAAAATTTGAATTAAATTCGGGATTAGGGAAAGTAGGGAGAAATTTTAATTTTGTCCAACTTCTCTATTCAAAACAAACATCTCCGCTCAAAAATACGTAGCTTGGAACTCAACTTCAATTTCTGAACGAAATTTTCAGCAGTTGTAGCCAAAATCTGCACTGTTAAGATAAAAAAAAATGCAGGATTAGTCAGAGCTCATAGGTGAGTTCAGGAAATTTTTATCTAAAGGTAAAGTCGCACTAAATGAAGCTGTTCCATTAAAAAAAATCGTGCCTCTGCACTCAGCTGCAGGATATGCATGAAATTTGCCCAATTTGATGCAAAAAGCGTCGCCATTAAGGTAAAGAGAATTCCAAATCAAAATTAATTCCTGGGTTCCAGTCATTTATTGTCTCTATTTATCAATTAAAATACGTTTCGGTGTATTTTTCTACCATCATCAGTTTTTCTAAAATAAAAGGATTAGTTAAAAAAAACTTTCATTAATTTAAAAAACAATGATTTAAATTAATTAATGTCTTTAAATCTGTTTAAATCAATTAATTTTAAAAACCAATGAAATATAAAAGAAATGTAATACCGCCACTTACAGATAGAGCCATTAAATTGTCACATTGGGAGTATAGAAAACAAAATCTTGAAAAAATAAAAAATACTTTATTAATAAACAACTATCCAAGGTCATTTTTTGAACCAATCATAAAGCAAAGGATAAATAAATATACAATTCAACTAAATGGAAAAACATATATAAAAGAAGAGAAGGTGATATCAAGTATATATCATTACCATATATTCCGGAAATTAACACAAAAATAAAAAATATATTCACACCACATAATATCAACATAGCAGAAAAAACCAAAAACACCTTAGCAAATGAATGTTTCACAAAATTTAAACCTGGAATTGACAAGTTAGACACGCCTAATGTAATTTACAAAATAGACTGTTTGAATTGTGATAACACATACATAGGTCAAACAGGACAATATCTAAAG